CACACACACACACACACACACACACACACACACACACACACACACACACACACACACACACACACACACACACACACAGAGTTTGTAGGTTAACAGCAGCTCATTCTGCCTGGATTTATGGTGTTTTGAGTTCACAAACAACTCTGGTTACTTTTTTAAAAGTTGAGGGACGTTACATTAGCTACATTAGCTCGTAGCTGCGCTGCTGATCAGCGCTAACAGGCACAGAGCCGCTGACTCCCCGTCACACGCGGTTTTGTGTTGGTGATTCTTGCTGTATCTGAGTAACTATTGATAAGGTAAATATGCTGTAGCTTCACYTGTCGTGTCTTCCATGAAAGAAAAAAAAAGGTAGCTTGCAAATCTGTCGCATCAGACAGTTTTCATCACACGTCACATCACACACACCTACGTGCCTTGCTATCTTTGTGAGGACTACACAGTCTCGCTGCGCACAAGAACCCGCTGTGTTGGTTTTTCAAAATAAAGTACGTCTTAACTTTTCATTGATGTTTAAATAGGGTTTCAAAGTCTGATTATGGTTAGTATAAGAATGCAAATATAGGATATAAATATATATGATATTGTTTTAGTCTAATCTAGTCCTATTATAAAAAAAGAAAAGAAAAAAAAACTTAATTCTGAAAGTGTGGCGGCTATGGTTTTTGCCGTGGTGGTGCGCCACGATCAGTTACATGTAGGGGAAACCCTGTAGTATGTACCTTCTGGTTCATACCGGGTACATACCAGTTCTGTACCTGCTAAGTACTTGGTACACACCTGCTATGTGCAAGCTAAGAACCAGGTGGGACAATACAGAGTACTTACCTGGTTTACTTGATAAATATCAGGTACGTAGCAGTTCTGTACCTATTATGGTAGGTACCCAGTATGTACCCACAAATTTCTCTGTACACACCTACAAAGTACTAACTAAGTATCGGGTACAAACCATCTGACACATACCAGGTACTTCCCTGGTTTACCTAATAAATACCAGTTCTGTTGTATGTACCAGGTAAGTCCCAGTACATAAACACCTATTGGCCAGTRCACACCTGCATTATACAAGCTAAGTACTATGTACAAGCCATCTGATACATACTGGATACATACCTGGTTTACCAAATAAATACCAGGTATGTACCAGTTCTGTATTTACCACGAAAAGTACTCACTAGATACTTGTTACATACCTGCAATGTCCCAGGTATGAACCTTCTGGTACTTAGGTACTTACCTGGTTTACCTAATAAATACCAGTTCTGTACTTGGTAGTACCAATAAGTGCTCGCTAATTGTTTGATACATACGTGCTATGTATTAGCTAAGTACCAGGTACATAAACGTGTGTACCAGCTGAATACTCAGTAAGAACCARGTAAGTACCTGTTTATCTGGTAACTTTGATAAAAGTGGGTAAAAGTATACAAAAGGAAGTACCAAGTAGATACCTGCTTCAAAATAAAATACTTCATACAGCCCAGTACTCTATACATACGGGGTTGTATTATGTATTTCTACCACTTTTATCTGAGTTATCTGATAAAGGCTTTCAGAGGAAAAGTGTTTTTATTAAAAATGAGCTGAAGCTGAGCGTAAAAATCCATGGAAACCATTAAAAGCGCGGGTTGATGTGTAAAGATGTCTGCTCTGCTGTCGCTGCCACGCTCTCAGGATTTATCTGATGCTGCTTGTTTTCTGCACAAAAAAGACCGAATAAATTAGATAAACTGATGTGGTACTTAACAAATTAGGCCGAGTGATTCCTCTGCACACTGCCGGCCATTATGAGCCCGTTGTCATGGTCACTCCTCCTCTTCCTCTGTGTGTGTGTGTGTGTGTGTGTGTGTGTGTGTGTGTG